TATTGTCTAATTGTCCTCCCTGCCTTTACTGAGAGCTGTTGTACAGTCTGATGGCCAGGGGGACGAAAGAGTTTTTGTGTCTGTTGGTGGAGCTGGATTGGGACAGACAGTCCAGTATGGACAGCAGTTTGTCCACTGTCACCAGAGGCAGAAAGAAGGACCCTGGACAAACTAAACAAAGTGAAACTGTACAGGATTCAGCTGGCTGGTTTCAGTGTTGTGGATCTACATTTGGTCGTAGCTTTTTTTTAGTCTTTTTGAGTCTGATAATAGTTCTCATAGTATGACACCAGCTTTGTTTTCTGTCACTGAATCTGTCTCAGAACTTACCAGTGACCTGACCATGTTACTCAGTTTTCTTCCTCTTCATATGAAATGAAACCTCTTGGCGTGACCCTTTCCGTCAGACTTACTCCCTTTCTCTCCTTCCTTTTTTAAGTGGGCCAGTTGTGCTTCCTGATACGCCAGCGTGTGTCCTTGAGACCAGAGGAGGCACTCTTCTTCTTTGTCAACAACTCCCTTCCCCCATCGAGCTCCCCTCTCTCTGCTGTATATGAGGTAACCGCACCCTTCCACACACGTTACACGAGGATCCTTCCCAACACACACACACACACACCAGCAGGAGCACAAACATATTTTATATATAGTTTATCTGTTCACAACATAAATGCAAGGTTTCAACTTACACACATTATTCACCCTTCCCTTGTGACACAGCTGACAGTTAGATCTGCTTAGACAGCAATGTTGCTTCACTTTTCCTGGTCTCACAAATAGCCTGCCAGTAACCCATGAACTTTTTTTTTGAGCGTGTGTCTATGTAGTTATGTTTAGGAACTGCAGCATACTGATGGCACTCATTCTGAAAGTGAAATAAAAACCAGTAAGTTGTAGCGTTTTCAAAAAAGTTTAAGAAGACATAAAGCCTTTGAATTCCACAAGTAATAAAATGAGACTGGCAGATAAATTCCTTACTGCATTTATCAGGTCCAAACAGTACTTCTGTGGGTGTGTCAGTCCACGTGCACATTTCTAAGCATGCTTGTCATACTGAATTATGCATTACCGTCTGCTCTGTTATGTTACAGGAGCACCACGAGGAGGACCTGTTTCTCTACATGACTTACAGTAATGAGAGTGTGTACGGTGCCTAAAGGAGGACGAAAGACTGGAGAAAGACAGCGAGAGGAGACTAAGTGAGACTGTCTGAGGAATAAAAAGTTACGGCTGTTTGTAATGCTTCACACCACTATTATTCTTTATTTTAGTTTTGTTTAGTACAGTACATGGTGGAAGAAAGGCTTTGCACAAGGCAGAGGGGTCTGGTAGGTTTACTTTTGTCAGTATTTCTGGGTGAACGATTGCATTTTAGTGCATGTCAAGTTATGTTTATTCCTTAGAAGGTGAAAGAAGAAAATGGAAGGGGGAAAAATAAAGAAAGCATTGCAAAAAGACGTTATTGGAATTATGTTGAGGGAGCTCTCGTTATCTTTCTCAGTCATCTGTATTTAATGCAAATAGTATTTTTTTTTTGTAAATTAATATCATAAACTTTTGTGGAAAATAAAGATAAAAAATGCATACATTTGTGATTCATTCTTTTTGTGTGATTATTTCTTTATGCGTGTCTCCATCTGCCACACCTGTGGTTTTAGATGTCAATAATAAAAAGACATGAAATGAAAATATGAATCGCACCCTTTACGTTGCTAGTTGTGCCTTTTGAATCAAAAAACAGGTCATATAGTACAATGCTTACACACAAGCGCTTTTTACCAAAACCACTTGTTTAGGGGACGGACAAAGAGGAGAAGTCTTCATGGGGAAGTGTTCTGTCTTTATTAGACAGATGAGTCACTGGACACTTAATATTTGAGACATTGTTTGCCACCGTCCTATCATCTACATTTATGCCTGCATGACAAAAGGTTACATAACGTCAGTTGACTGGCATCTGAAAGACTTCCGAGGCAAAACGAAAGTTAGATAAACCGAAGAGAAAAGCCATGGAGATGCAGGAGATTACCACACAGGAGGAAAGAAAGAAAGAAGATGAAGAAGCAAATGACCCGATGCAGGAGGCCAAAACTGAAGGTACAAGAAATTAAGTTAAATTAGCAAACTCTTGATAATAAGTGTATAAAACACATGTTTATATTGTAGAACTGACAAGTCTGTTATTCTTGTTTCTTTTTTTTTTCTTTCTTTTTTTTAAGTTTAATGAAACGCTAAGATTGTGCTAATATGAATTAATTGTAATTTAATATTTAAATTCCAGACACTTACGTCTCTGTGTCTGTTTGTATTTTTGTCTAGTTATAGAGGAAGCAGAACCAGACCCTTATTCTAAACTACAAAACCCAGCTGAGGACATCTATTCAGAAGCTTTTTATGGTGGCGCTCCAGTTAAAACAAAAGCAGGTACCTTTCTTTATGACAAAATAACACATAACATGACACAGAACTTTGTTAAACTGCTTCGTACTATTAACTTTAACACCAGCTTCCCTACATTGCTGGGTAATCACTGATCTGTTGTAATTATAGTGCTGCAGAAAGTTAGATATAGGAATTCATGTCTTGAGAAAACACATGCAGATGAAAAGAAAAGAAAGCAGAAGCAAAGTTGTGACACTGTGATTGACTGTAAGTGTCCATGACAGTGATAATGTGATTTCCTGTAAAGAATCCAACCTATTTAAAAAAAATAAATAATGTGTAGGTCATTGTTCTGTATTTTATATAAATATATATAATATTGTGTTTTCTGTCATCATGAGAGCTGAATCCTTCCTACGTTTAATGTCCAACGATTTTAATGTGAACAATTATTCAAATGAATTATTTGTTAAATTAATTATAAGAATTTCTTTTAATATACAGACTAATGCAATAGCAACTAGAGATAACTTATTTATGTGTGATACTCATTATAAGCATGGGAGTAAAATATTCCTAAATATTCCTCAGTTGACAGTTATTCTTCAACTAGAATGCAAACTCTTCATTATATATGTGAATATGTCCATAATTTATAAAGTCAAAACATAGTTAAGGCTGTAAATAACAAATGACTTTAAACAGAAGACAATTTGGCATGTCACAGTACATAACACTGGTGTAATAAACAAAATGAGGGATGGCTGAATTCCATTTAGCTGCGTTAGTCACACTGCAATGCCTTATTGGAACACGTGAATAGAACCAAACCATAGTTCTGTATTATTAGTACCCTTGTGCTTTCCTTGATTTGACAAGTCAATGTTTTTTTTTATGTCAAAAAGACCTTCAGTATCATAACAACAGTTGCTCGGCAGCAGCAATAAATAGTTGTTTCATTTTGACAGAATATTACATCACACTGTAATTTCAAGTTAAAAATACAATTTATTATTATTCTGAAACATATGCATTTTTTAAATATAGTTTGTCAGGCAAGCATAAATTTGTCTTTTTCGTGTTTTGTTAGAAACAAAAAGAAAGAAAACGGGAACGTGGTGAAATAGGACAGATGTGTGTGTTACTGTTTTGAATTCTCACGCACACAGTTCCAAAAACAACAAGGAGATAGAAACAGACATGCAAGGACAACAAAGCTATGCAAAAGATAGTTAAAAAAAACAAGTTACATTATATTCATACCAGTAGGCGAACAAATAGGTGTATTTACAAATATATATAAAGAGCAACAACATACAGTATCTGCATACAAGTTAAGTGTTTCTGTGAATTGTAAACAAAAACAAATAGTGCAAAGGACTAAATAATACGGAAAATAAAGTGAACTAAAGCTACAGAATCACAATTATCTTGTCTTTAACTAGATATAATGAAATTATTGACCCTTTGCTCACAAGAATCTGCATTCTTTGATCTTGAGGACTGTTCATTAAATAAAAGAAAAAAGTTTATATTTTTGAGGTTCAAGTGGCAACAAGAATAACTTGAGCAAGGCTGCCGCTTGAAGACAAAATCCTGAACTTTAATCAGATATTAAACGTTTTAATCAACGATGACTTTATGTTGTGTCTCTGAAATCTGAAATGACCTTAAGAAAGAAACCCTGAAATCTGTTGTTTTGGAGTACAACGTCTCCAGACAGTGTCCCCCACACACACGCTCCTTCTCAAAGGAAGAGACAAAGAGCGATACAGATAAAAGTTTTGGAAATTGAAGGACAAGTCGAGCACTGTGCTCCATGAATAACTTAGAAATCAGTAAATGTCCTGTTGCTAGGGCGACAAGACAAAGGGGTGGGTGTGGGGGGCACTCTTAAAACGGCACTCTTGCAGGCAGACGTGAGTCAGCAGAATAGGCAGACAGAGAAGGACAGAGCATACAGGACACACAAATCCCAGGACATTTTTCTCCATGTACATCAAATTCTGTCGCAGTTATGGTGAGGACAAAAAAGGCGAAGCCAACGCAAACTTGTCACCTGAGTCTAAGTTGTCTGTTGAACTGGAAAAAACTGGTGAAAAAGGTAGGCCGGAGCAGCTTTTTTTCAGCATTGATTGTGGTTTGTGTTGTGCTCATAAAAATATCTCACTAACATCCGGCTGATGTCTTCCTTCCTCCTTTCTTCAGGCAAACAGGCTGAGGGAAACACACGTCTGTACCGTGCCGTGTGTTTCTTCCTCACCATAACCTGCCTGGTCCTGCTGGTGGTTGTTTTTATCCTCAGTCTGAAACGTGAGTGTCTGCAGCCATGGATCTAAATGATATAAAAACAAACCACTGTTTGTCTGTATTATGTTTCTAACACCACATCAGCTAATGAAAAGATTGCAGGTTTTCGCCAGCAGTGCATGAATAAAAGGAAATATATGTCAAAATCACATTGCTTTTATTATATTATATTATATTATATTATACGATTCAGAAATACAAAGCGTTCCTGATTGCACTGCTGAAGCCTGCAGGCATTATTCTTTTCCCTCATAACTCCTCCCACTTTGCTCTGTTTTCTAGTCCAAAATGGATCCACAGTCTGCCTGGAGAGAGTGGAAACTACAACAGCCCCAACGTGCAACTACGAGCAGTGCCAGGATTTCTTCCCCAAAAGTCGTGGCCAATGTGAGTGTGATGCCAGTGCAGAAAACCTTGTACAAGCCAAATAAACATCTAGATTAAAAAAAAACAAATAATACTTTCTCAATCATCAACTTTTTAGTGCCAGTTCTGCTTCACAGTTTCCCTGCCCTCGGAGGAAGCTTATTGTTTTTAGAGAACTGAGAATTTCTTAATTTAAAGATTCAGCTGAGTTTGATCAGTTTTATTATTTCCTCTTCATTGTGATTGGTATCGGATTACATACAGACACATAGATGTGTACAAAAATGGCATGCACATATTCACAAAATGAGAAAATAAAACCAAAAAATGATGAAGAAAAACAAAGCTAACTGAAGGTACAGAAACAAAGGAAATATTTAGGTCTGCTTTGGGGTTATTTAAATGTTGGAGGACTTATTGCCACATCTGAACAGCATTTTTTTAAAATCTGCTTCATTATTTACTCGTGCAGTTTAGTCCACATTTGCAGAGTGATGTTTTGTTTTCCTTGTTTGAGAATTGTCTGTACTGATTCCCCTTTCTCCTTTCAGATCGCAGCTGTCACAAGTGCGACGACGGGTGGCTGACTTTTGGTCAATCGTGTTTTTTCCTGTCCACCACCAGGCTGAGCTGGGACGAGAGCCAGAAGAACTGCAGTGCTAGAGGAGGCTCTCTGGCTGTCATTAGCAGCCCAAGGGTTCAGGTGGATCTTATGTCACTTCCTGATACTTTAGTATAACAGTGCAGTTCATAAAATAGTAATAACTTGTACAGTATATATTTGTTTGTTAATATCAATGCTGGTCTGTCTTCTAGCGTTTTCTGACCAAGGAGGGGAAATTTACTTATTGGATCGGGCTGAGACAGAGCGGAGACACATGGACCTGGGTCAACAACGACTCGCTGCAAGACCGGTGATTCTTGGAGAATAGATTAAATTATTGATGAACAGAATAGTACAGACAGATTTTCTGTGTGGCTAATATATAAAGTTGTAGCAAGCACATGTTATCTATGTAGTCTTTAGTTGTTTTTTTCTTGTTTTCTTTTTCTTTTTTAGGTTTGTTAATTCATATTTTGTGTGCCAGTTTTATGTTTTATGTTTTGTCTGAAACTATAGGTATGTTTTCATTAGTGTATAATCACCTGAAAATAAGAATTATTGTGTTTTTGTTAACTTAGAATGAGCTGTTTTATCTACAGAAGCAGCAGGTAGTCTTCCACAGAGTCCACCATGTTTCCACAGTAGCCCTGAATGGACAAACCAAACACTGGCTCTAGAGAAGGCCATTAGCGTTTTTTGTTTCGCGACCACCGTACTTTCTTCTACACAGTTGTACACATCTGTACAGGGGAGGGAGTTTTAATCTGCAACTACACCGCTAGATGCCACTAAATCCTTCACAGTGGTCCTTTAAGGTGGTGTTGTATTGGAATACCACTAACTACACATGTCTGACAATGACACTAAAAACATTACTAAACATTATGAGCTTCATAACAAGATTTTATAGCAGAAGAATTGTATTGGATCACAGTAGATTGTACAGGTACCTAATGAAGTGGCCTTTGAGATTTATTCTGTCTCTGCTTTACTAAAAAATATTACAATATAATAATCAATATTCTTTTCTTTGCAGTTATTGGACAGAAGGGACATCACAAGGAAATTGTGGGATGCTCAAGAGTAGTAGCCCTCCTGAGAAGAACTGGCTCACAGCTCAGTGCCACGCCTACACCTACTACATCTGTCAGCTGCAGCTGTGACAGCGTCTGTCATTTTTAACAGAATAACAAGCAAATGAAATTCTGTCAACAAGCATTCACTTATCAATAACATTTCAAATCACTTCCTCTTTCTAATCAATACATCAATTAGTAGTACTCAGCAAAGAAAGACAAGTAGCATTTTATATAATAGTTTAATACTGTATTTTTCATTCTCTTGTAGCATTGTGTTGCCTAATTTGTATTCTTACATCTCTGTTTTATGCGTATAAGCACTTATAAGCACCTTACTCTTATATACTGAATGATTCCTCATACTGCTGTTTGACTTTGTCACAAATAAAGGCCAGTAAGTTTGTTTCAACAAGGTTTTATTCTCATATAAAATGTTCATGCAACTACATAATAAGTTGAATGTCTATGTTTCACTTTGTTTTAGCTTAGCATATTTTACTGCTACATACTTTCTACATTGCTATAAAAATAATGCACTCTTCTCTATAGCATAATACTGCAGGAGTAATTGCACCGTTGACTATATAGACAGGTTGAGCCGGTTGAGTCCTCGTCTTGCAAGTTTGTTTGTTGACTTTCATCAACACTTTACATCTACTTCATATGTTCAGGACAGTAAGATGATGGAAAGCCTTGGATAATTCACTTCAGGTTCAGGTAGCATGCCTTCCTAGACATATTTAATGTCCTGGTCCTCCTCTGGCTCTTTCTGCCCCATCTCAAAACCCAAAGCGCTGTTGCGAATCATCTGCCAACCTGCCAGAGACTTCCTGTTGTTATCCCCTCCTTTGTCTTTTGATCTGAGCCTGGGGGTTCCTGAGATTGACCCCTTTATTGTGTCAGTCTTCTCTTCCTGTTCATCGTCTTTGGAGAAAGCTTTGATGTAACGACGCATCTTTTGCAACATTGGGTCATTTCTGTCCTCAACCCTGTAAAGATGAGAGAAGGAAAAAATAGTAAAGCTGCACTACTGCAATTTAATTTTGCACTTCCCTAAATACCCCACAAATGACTTTCCATTAAATTTAATGACATCAGAAAGCCTAAGCTGAGATAACCTCTGACGACAATCAGGTTAATTTTCTACGACTTGACAAAGGTCCTCCAGAACCACAGAAGACCTGTTTTCACAGGGTGAGTATTACTTCATATGAGAAGTATCTTATCTTCACATGCAAAATGGGTGGAGTGCCCCTTCAATGTGCCCTTTAATAATCTACATGACATAACACGTGTAAAGCGGTTGAAGTATGTAGGTGGAGGAGGTTTGATAATAATCTTACAAGATCTGAGAGAGAGAGTTGTGCCTCTTACTCACAGCACAACATGACTTGTGGCTGAAGTGCATTAAAGACTACTTAGGTTGTGGTGAGTGGAAGAACTTTTCCCTGTATGATTATTTATAGCAAAAATAGTAAGCCTAAAAAGGTTTTACTTGGTTTTACTGCTGATGTCATTGCACATATAATGTCCGGATACAAAATCTCTATTATTGAAATGTTTGCTATTTAAAGGCATACTGAGTAGGATTTACTTTAAAAATATATATATATATATAGATTCATACAAAAATAATCCTCATCAAATAATCATCACTTATTACCCACTAAAAGTATGTAGCAGTGTGTGTATCTGTAGAGACCCTGCCTTCTGCCTGTATTTTCTTATTTTGCTATGTTTGGGACATTTCCAGGCGTCAACCTTTGGGCAATGCGCAGGGTCTCTCTCTGCTCTGTCTGTGTTATGGATGTATCTCCAGAGCTGGCACACAGCTAAAAGGAAGTGTGGAGATAGGTCTGGCTATGCAAGGCGATGGATGTACGGGGCTGAGCTACACACAACAGATAGTACAGCTTCGGTCCTATTCACACAAAATTTGCCAATGCACACCTTCCGCAGGGTTGTGCGGAGGTGTGGCCATGTTTTTTTTTTAGAGCGTAACTGCCATGAAACAATTGGAAAGTCACGTTATATTTCTCTTATTCACTGATTTGTTGTAACATTGCTCCCTCTCTTCATTCACTCTCTAGATAGCTTGACCACCACTGCTCTAGATTGCTAGTTGAGCCGGGGAGGAGGGGCCAACAACAGATAAACAGATATTTTTAAATCTAGCTTCTTATGATGACAGAGAAGTTTAAACCATTTTGGTAATTTCACATGAGAGATGTCTGTAAGTGTTTGGTGCTCTTCTTGATGGTTTGAAGTGAGCAGAACTTGGAAAAAAGGTGCAAATGTTATACCAGTTAATTTGATTGTTGCATATTTAGTATAGAATTCTTACCCTTACAGAAAAAACACTTTTTTGATCTGAAAACACATTTTCAGGGGCTTTAAAACCTTTGTTTTCTTACCTGAGATACCAGCGCTCCCTCAGACCATAGTTGAGCCCACATACCCCGATTCGAGGCCACATGCAGCGGGGCAGCCTCCTCTCCAACATCAAAGTTGTTGCTACCACCTGTACAACATCATTACAGCTGTAACCATCACACAGTAACACAGGTACATGATGATGAGGTGTTTCTCAGCATTTATGATTCTATCTTTTCTTTGTCCGTGTGTGAGTGTGTTACCTGAGTCCTCCAGAGCTCGTCTCTCTCCTGGGCCACTCTCCAGTGTGTGTCACTCATCATGGCTATGAGTAGATTTAGCAGAAGGATGTAGGAGACCACAGAGAAGGTGCAGTGCAGGACGTGGACGATCGGTGGAGTGGTGATGGTGTGGTCCACAGGCAGATCTATGAGGCCCACGCTGAGCTCAAACTGGGAAAAGAGGGTGATGGGGAAGGAGCGATATGCAGGGATGGACCCGGCCTTCTGGGTCATATACACCATCCACAGGGCTGAGAAGAACATTTAAAACAGTGAAAGTAAACGTGAGGAAGTAGAAAAGTCTAAATCATCTTATTTTACATCTTAGAAGCTTTGTGAGGGTTAAAGATTTGTTTGCACATGTCGCCCAAAATATACTCACAGGTGGAAAAACCCATGAGCACAATGAAACTCAGCCACATAAACTTTGTCAGGTCTCCAAATATAATCTAGGGGGAAATGAGACACACGGTAGGTCAGTCTGCAAACACAAATAGGTGAACCTCAAAAACCAAAACAACAACTGAATACATCTGCTTCGAAAACATTTCAGTACAGGTGTGCGCATGTGGAACAAACTACTATTTCAACATGACTCATGAGCTCCTATAGCATGCACCACTTTGTCTGAGTCCTACCTTCTGTATCATGATGACATAAGGGCCGAGCATTTCAAAACCTCGGGCGAAAAACATGACGTTGCTCCAGCCGAGAACTAAACACACGGCCATCACCTCAGCCTCTCCCTGCACCTCGCAGGCTCTGAAAACGCAGAGCAGCACCACCAAGCAGGCGTAGCCGATACTGGTTTAAACAAGAGCAGAAAGGTTAGAACCTTAGGTTATTTAAGAACAGTGTGTGCTTTATATTTCAACTTAGAAGTGTTTCTGCTCACAGGATAACATGGAAGGGGCCCCCGAGTGCTGTCTGGCCGAAATAGCGCTTTGCTCCCACTCTCAGTATATCAGGGATCTGTTGGAAAAGAGGACACAGTGACATAGTGGCAGTCAAGTACACTCAATGTACAGTATGTAAGAAGATGAAGCATGTTTTATAAATTCACCTCCAGCAACAGGATGACAAAAGCTCCCAGGATGCTGATGATCTCACCCACCAGCCGCAGGTTGTCCTCATATGTCACATAACTCTCCTTAGGCACGGAAATATAAATGTATTAATATTAAAAGCACATTATTATCATTATTGTATGTGTCATATGCAGGTTCACAGTCTGACATTTACACATGTGATCACATAAGGTCAAACTATGAGTCAAAGCCCCTGTTTTTTTGTCTTTTTTAGTTTTATAGTATTTGTATGATTAGAATTTGGTTTTACTTCATCATTAGTATGGGATTTAAAGTGATTAACAGGGGTTTTCTACCCCCTAGGTAAAATGTGTCTTGATGGAAAAAATATTGTACCACAATATATAAATACTCCATTACAAGCAAAAGTCTTATGTTCAGATTTTTAAGTATAAAAGTATTATTATCAAATTATATTAAATGTAAACTATACTTGTTATATATATGACAAACAATACACCACAGTCATATTGTTACTATACTACTATATTGTTGTATACATGTCATATATTGTTACTATCTATGTGTAAAAAAAACCCACTATGTAGTGAAGTAAAAAAGCACACATTAGCATTAAATGGAAGTACTCAAATGTGTTTAGTACTTAAGTAAATGTACTTAGTTTCTTATTTATATAAGTTATATTATCCCACCACCACAGTTTATGTTGTTGTTAATTTCATGCTGTAAAATTGTATTTATTAAAGTAAATAATAACTCTAACACACATCAAGTGTTTTCTGGACTCGGATGGTTTTGTCCATATCTGACTGTGTGTAGTTCTCCGGAGCGTCCTTTAGAGGGCGATATGTACAACACAGTGTGAAGGTCCCGATGTACAGGAGATACAGTAACAGCAGCAGCCTGAAAAAAAAAACACACCGTTACACAACACTGGACGTGTGCACAGTTCAAATATTTTACTTCAGACAGTGACTGATCGTTTTACCTAAAGTAATGCTTTCCATACAGGTTCCACTTCAGACTAACCAGCTGCCTCACAGGGGTCACTTCCAGTATCCCTCTTGCCTGGAGAGCAAAACCAAATGGTTTTAATTATTTTTTAGCATCACATTAACATCCTTATTTCTGAGCAAATAGTCTGTGATTTCACAAGGTTTGGTACCTCTCTCTTGTGACTGCCCACAATGAGCTCCAGCACTGACATGTCGTCGGCCCATGAATCGATCTCCGTCAGGTCATACAGGTTAGAGGTCAAAGGGCCCAGACTCCACTGGACTAAACGCCTTTTATTAACCAGATGTTGAAAAGCCTAAGAGAGACAGAGGGAATCACAGCAGTGAGGACAGGATTAGTGAAATAATCTGCTCTGCTCCACCTTTCATGTTGGGTGCTCACCCTGTGAACCCCCCTTCACTCACCACATTGTTTCCTTCTTTGGCAGCCAGTTTAAAAGGTGTAAGGCCTCGATAGTTGGGCACCATGTCGAGTGGCAATGACTGGTCTAGCTCTGCATCGCGTGCCATAATCAGGTCAATGGCCTGGCACGCAATCGTCTTGTTGGGCTGCAGAACCAAAATGTGAAGCACTGTGTTACCTAGACAGAAAATAAGGGAATACAAGGACAAGAGACAGTAGGTACAAGAAGAGAAAACATTAATAATGAAAATAATTAATCTGATACACAGATATAAAATAATATTGTGCTC